TACCAGTCCCACCAGTCCCGCTACCGCGAAACCGACCCCGCTCCGCAGGCGACCCCGAGGGGGCCCGAAAAAACCAGCCGCGGCTGTCTTGCTGCGGCGGGGTCGCCTCCGGGGTGCGAGGCGTGTGCTGCGAGTAGCGAACGGCAGCGGAGCGCGGGGGCGGTGTCGCGGGTGGCGGGTGAGCGTACGAGTGCCGCGAGCGCGAGGAAGACTGGGAGCCGGTGCGCATGAGCGAGGACGCGCTGGGCGGGCGGGGCGTGGCGTCGTTGTGCCCGTTCGCATGCGCGGTGATGTCGGGGATGACGTCGAGGTCGCCGTCTGTGGAGGGGGGTGTCAGTTTAGTTGGTGGTGCAAGAAAGAAAGAATGCAAGTAAAAGCTGCTGGGAGAGAGAAGGGGATAGAGAGAAGGCTCGAGATCCACAAAAACAAGCAATGGAGAGGAGGGCACGATACAGAAACGGCGGGGACTCCAAGGAGATGTCGGGGATAATGGAAGCACAAACAAGGAAAGAAATAAAAAAGCTCGAAAGACGAGGCCAAGGAGATTGAAAGAAAGAGAGAGAACGAAAGACAAGTGAAACCAACTCACATCCCATCCCTTCACTCGCGACGCTAATGCTGCTCCCCTTCTTCCGCCTCCCAAGCACGCCCCCGCGCTCATCGCCCTCCCCATGGCCCTTCCCACCACCCCCAAACCCCCACCGCTTCACGCTCCCAATGCGCGCGAGCAGTCCGGGCGAGCCGAGCGTGACATGGCTATGGCTCCCGCCCGCCGCCGCTCCTTGTGCGCCGTACGGCGTGTTGTTGTTCGCGTTCGCATCGGGTGTAGGCGCGAAGCTCACGACAACGCTGCTGCGGCTCCGGCTCGCGCCTGCTTCACCACCGCCCGCAGCGCTGCCATACACCCCACCCGCGATCCCGCTGCCACCGCCCAGCCCCGGGTCCTCCGCATCCCAATCCTCTTCCTCCTCTTCCTGCGCGTCCTCTGAGCTCTCCCGCTCCCTCCCACCCACACCCCTCGCCATCTTCATCTCCCGCATCTCCACCACCCCACTCGCGCCCCCGCCTCCACCCGCACCACTCGGCCGGCTCTTCTTCCGCAGCCTCCTCCGCTCGCGATGAATCGGCGGGCTCGGCGGCAGCCCCGCCAGCCCTCTGGCCCCCTCCCACCCCTCCTTCTCCCTGTTTCGATTAAGCTTGTGGGGTCGATTCAGCGCAGTGGTACTCCCCGCGCTCGTGTGCGTGTACGCTATCGACGCGTTGTCCGGCGCGGAGAACACACTCGCCGTCGGGCTGCGCGGGAAGGGCTGCGGCTGCATCATCCCAAGCCCCCCACTTGCGCTCCCCATCGGGCCGGTGGGGATACTGAGCGCGAGCCCGCCGCCGTTATGACCAGATGGCAACGGCGGCACGGGTGGTGGCGGGCTCCCCCCCAAGTTATACGATAGCGCCCTCCGTGAACTCGCCCCCGACGCCGAGCGCGCCGTGACCGTACGGTCCTCGTCCGGCCCCCCTCCCGCCGCGAACCCCATCTCCCCGTCCTCGTCATCGTCCGAGCTCCACCCAGAGCCCGATGCAGATGCGGTCGAGTTGGAATTGACGGTGGCGCCCGACGCGGAGCGCATACGCGGTGACGGCGTGATGGTGGCGGCGGGCGAGACTTTGCGCTGCGTCGCATCCGAGCCGCCGCCCGAGCCTAAGCCTGGGCGGTGCCGCTGCGTGCGGCTGGCGCGCGGGGTGCGGTTGTGTCGGCTCTTCGACGGCGCGGGAGGCGGCGGTAGGTCAAACCCTGAGGTGGAGGTGGAGGCGGAGGTGGATGTGGAGGCGCGGGTATGTGAGTCGTTGGAGTTTTTACGTGGATTTGGATTTGAGTTTGGGTTGTTTGGATAGATGGAAGACGACGGAGCAGGGACTTCATTGTCGTTATCGTCCTCCGCAAAGTCGTCATCCCAGTTTTCTGTGGTCGTCGCGGTGTCGTGTGAGGTGCGCGGTCGTGGGAGGGATCGGTGCGGGTCGTCGTCGTGTGGGTCTTGAAGAAATAGGTCTTCTTGGTCTTGAATCGGCGAGCGCCGTGAGGTTCTGTTGCTGTGGAATTCAAAGTCGTCGTCCCAGTTTTCGGAGGGTTCTATACAGCACGAGAGAGTTAGCAGGTGCGCATAGCGGAGTGAAAGCGCGACAAGAGGAAGAGACGATTTTTGCACCGTCTAGGGCACGCGATCACTCTCACATCATACATATCGCATCAGGGCGACCAGGTCGGTCCTACGGCGGAGATCAAAAGGGCATGGAGCCCTAGAAACAAGCAGAGGAACACGAGGCACGGGGCGACAGCCATCGCCCGCCAACGGGGTACACGCAAGCCAAAATGAACGGCGCAACGCGTCCGTCGAGGCACATAGGCTTGCAAAGTCGCACACCGGTATAGGATGCGCGTCGGACAACGGATTTTGGGCACGAAGCCAGGAGAATCCGAGGCAAACGCCTGGCCAAAACTTGTGGAACATGCACACGTATCCACCCAGGGACAACCAATTTCGCGCGACGTCTTCGGCGCAGCGGACAGCGAGAATATGCAGCAAACCCGGCCACCCAACAATCCGGATTTTCAAACGAGTACTGTGCGTTGCCGCACTGGCCGCGCCTGCCAACATTCCAGGGGCATCCTCTCGGAAAGGGTACCCGTCCGACTCGCGAGGATCCCTTGACTATAAAGCCGCGTTTCTCCGCTCTCCCTTCGCGCAACAACCCAATAAAAAACGGCAAAACAGAAGGTACACACCTGAATTGTGCGGCATGTCGTATGATCATGAGTTTCTGTGGGCCTCCCGTCAGAAAGCAGTCCGAAGAAAGGCGTCCTTTGGAGCGAGATACCGTGGCTGCTGGTGCAAAGAGCGAGAAAGCAAAGCGCAAAGCAGACAGGCGAGAGTATAAGGGCCAAAAGAAAGGTCGTTATGTGTCGCTGTTTGGTGCTCCGGCAATGCGGCCCGCTCGCTTGCCACCCTTGTTTTCTGCGACGCTCTGGCCACCGAGTCCAAGCGCTAGTGCTGCTTTGTGCGCTTTGTTCTTTTTTCCTTTCTTGTCAGGTGTCTTAGATGGCTCTCCGCTTGCATATTGTTTTCTCTTCTGGCTGGCTGAGCCGAAACCCGCGGAATCAGGTCGAAATTGCGCCCGAACGTTTCACTACATAATCACGGAATCGTATCGGACTCAACAGGCCTCTGACCTCACGGAAGGGAGAACCATTTTCAATTCGAGACTCTGCTTCCGAACGATGTTGTTACTTTTTACCCCCACCAAAAAATATCTTTTCAGCAGCGGCATTTCCTATTCAACAAGATCACAAAATCATGAGCTCACAAGACGCAAGGCCCTTTAACAGTCAACCCGAGCTTGAAACAAATCTATCCGAGAAATGAGGGCCCACACCCTCTCAACAAGAGACTGGTAGCAAATAGCCAGCCCTCGCACATCTTCCGGAAGATGTTGTTGGTTTCTCCTTTTTCTTCTTTCTTTCTGCTGTTTTTTTAGGTGCAGGACACCGCTAGCCATAGGGTCTTTTCAACCTCAGTGGGTACGAAAAATACGTGTATTTATCTGGTGCAAGTTGAAATAATTGCAAGCTTGACGCTGATAATCTGAACCAGCGACTGTGGTTGACTGTTTTAGACCTTGCGCTGGGAGCATATCAATGCAAACAGTGAACTTCGGTCACTCCTCGCGGGTGAGGTGGCTGGCCGTGAACAGTATCAAATTCAATTCTCCGAAATTGAGCGCAAGTTTCGTCACAACCCTAGTCTTGTCGAACCAGGGCACATCAAGGTCCATCATTTCTCCAAATGTCGTTACAGGTATTGTAGGAGGATTTTATGGAGTGAACTGGGATGATTGGGAACTTGTTAGCGACCACGAAAGGTTCCTGTTTCAACCCTAATTATGAAGTAACCAGTGACGAAAATCAAGTCTAGTGCATCCCGAGAGTCCGCGAATTTGCTGGAAAACCGGACGGGATTCTTGAGCCTTCCACTGGGAGTATGCAAAACAGTGACACTTTCGAGCACACATCCAAAATCCTCCGTACTGTGTGACATGTTTGAGGGCTGGCAACGGGACCAGAAGTCTTACACAGAGGCCTGCTTAGCAGCCACAGCTGAATATATGCCTGCCTGGTATCGGAGTTGAGGTTCTTTCCTTTCAGAATCTCGGGCTGTACAGTGCATGAAGGATGTGGATTGAGTTTTCTTGTTCCAAATCGAACCATGTAGATTGAATCACACAATGTGGTTGAATGCTGGGCAGCACTAGTTTTCCTGCACAGTTAACCCTTGATAGGCATTCATGTAGTCGCGGGGGCTGGGCCAGGTTGTTTGAGGAAACGGTTGGAGACAGCCCTATCAGACTAGATGGAGTTCGTTCGATCTGAATTGGGACCAAGCCATTATATTGGAGCGCTGGAGAAATGCCAGCATGTGCAGAAAATGTTATGAGACACTCCCTTGGTTGAAAACAAGTTGTTGATTTTCTTGATGAGTCTGAATTGTGTGGGATGGGATGGCTCTCTAGTAGTACATTCCGATGTCTAATTTGCCGAAATTGAACGCAAGTTTCATCACAACCCTACTCTTGTCCAGGGCCTGTCAAACTTCGCTCACTTCACGCAGACTCCTGCGGGGTGTGTGTGTATTATAAGGAAAGAGAAAAATGGAAACTGGAAAGTGTGGCAGCGTGAGAAGCAAGCAGAGGCAGGCCTGGCTATTCAGCACAGTCAGCGGAGATAAGTCTTCAGGATGCGGACAATATACTGAGGGCTGCAAACATAGTTTCCCGTAGTCAAACCCAACAAGATTCATACATCATGATACATGTATTAAAACCAATAAACTAATAAAGACAAATTATTGTGTTCTGGAACCAGACACAAATATGGTGGTGAACTCACATACAGTTCATTCTGCCGTCTAAAAAAAGAAAGAAGGGGAGGAGTGAGAAAAAAGAAGCAAAAGTGGACACATTGGGAATTGAACCCAACACCTCTCGCATGTCACGTGCTAATGCTTGCTAAGCGAGCGTGATAACCAACTACACCATGTGCCCGACAAAATAGTTTCATTTCGATCACTCACAATGCATAGATCTGGATAGACACCGCGATTTTTTCCAAGTCAAGGATCATTCATCAGATTTGACTACTCATGCAACAATCACAACGCATTCTAAACCCCAAAGATCCATGTTGCCCAACCCCCAGCTCGTTCTCTAGGTCATTCTCATCAAGGGCAAACAAAATGAAGATGGAGAATTAAAATTATTTTTCATTCTGTCAGTGATAGAGCCAGACAGTCACCACATTCCTGTGCCTTCAAGGCACAATTTTCCAGAACCTGCATCAAGAAGGTTCTTTTTCCACTGAGCCATGCATGATGGTACACAGGAGGGCCCTCTCAAACAGCTTGTGCTCTGGAAAGAGGTGTACAAGGGTAAGAAATAAGCAACATTGGCCACCCTTGCAAAGCTGCATTTTATGACTCCAGGGTCCATAGGTTTATTCTTGGGATTTATCTGTACACAAGTGTTGGCAAGGTTCGGTTCGGTTCCAGTTCAGGGGCCATAAATTTTCCTATGCTGCAGTCTAGCCTCACTCTTCCATTCATTGTCTTGACCCATCAATTATGGATTTTGGAAATCAACGGAACCTGATCTGAATGCCAGATTCAGGTTCAGGTTCACCAAATTGCTAAAGGAAATCATGATACTTCCTGTGGATGATGACCCACGACACATACATGGTCAGAACGTACTGGTTGAGAGAGTCTACCGACCTTGAAAAGCGAATTCAAAGTGAGTGTCAGCACTGTGGGAAAATAGACTCCACGGAGCACATACTCACTCAATGTGAAATCCCAGGCCAGAAAGTGATTGCGGCTCTAGCAAAAGAACGATGGACAAAAAGGAACCCAGACTGGCCTTGGCCTGGACTTGGAGCAGTTATTTCTGTGGGACCTGCTGTCTTCAAGGATGACAACAGCAAGACGAGAGCAGGTGAAGCAAGACTGTACTGCATCATGATGTTTGAGTCAGCCTATCTGATCTGGAAGATGTGAGCCTGTGAAAGAGTCATGCAGCACAACAGCGAGCATGCAACAGAGACCAAAATTCCTGCTTTGTATATAGTGGGTTTATGGGGGGTCTCAAAAAACAGTTTCGTTGGCATTTCATACAATTGATGGGGTCAATATCTTTCTTATTGGGACTGATACCATCGCATTTTTCGTGATAGCATCGCAAAATCTGTGATGCCATGGCGTCATTTTTGACAGAATCATCCTTGGATCCTCTCCTGAACGTCCGCCCAAGAGCCGTGCGGCCTGCCTTTCCTGTTTCCTGCTACCTCGACAAACTGCTCTTCATCTTCAAGCCCTCGACTTGTCAAATGTATCTTCATTAATGGAGTACTTGCTTGCACTAGGGCTGCCCACCGTCCCGTCAATGGGGACGGCCGTCAATCTGTGAGGCCGAGACGGTTACGGGCCATCAAAAAAGCGGCCATCTTTTCCAATTTTAGCACCTTGAGATGGGACGGGATGGCAAAAAGATGGCCGTCAACCGTGAAATGACGGGACGGCCCTCGGCAGCGAGAATGAGCATTCAGTGACCAGAATCTGCATACAATTAAATACTAATCCATACAATTATGGCCCAGAATGTGGAATTGGGCCTCTGCTTCACAATACACATGACAGAATTCATATTTTTGGAAGGTACACCCGCAGCACGTGAGATGTTGAACCACGATGAACAATTCTGGGAACCGTAGTGGAGGAGGGTGTGGTACTTCGGAGTATGGTAGGTCATGGCGGTCAAATTTAGAGCAATTCAAGATAATTTTGGCGCAAAAAAGAGGATTAATTGGGACCAACCCGTCAACGGCCGCACCCTGATGGGACGGATGGCAAAAATGCCGTCCTGTACCCACCCCATCAATTCCATCCGGCAACTTGCTGACGGGACGGGACGGCTTGCCGTTGATGGCACCCATCACACCCGTAAAGACGGGGACGGTGCACAGCCCTAGCTTGCACTGGAACAGTCTCTACTATTGGACACCTTGTCTGTGAATTTGCAGCCATCCTTTTTTTTTTTTTTTGGGAGCGTTTGGGATAATGATGTTCATTCTGCAGAAGCATTCCAAAGTCATCCGCTGGGTCTACCAGAAAATTCTAGTTAATGCCGGGGAAGTTGTCCAGGGAGGAAATGCCATTACGCACAATTACCATAGTATGGGACTCCAGCCTCTGTAAGTTTATCCTATCCCATTTTTTGAATCTTTCAATGTCAATGGCTGTATACCCACTAAAACAATTTGCAGCCATCCTGCCTCCTCCCTGCGATGGCTTCTTTCTAGTCACTGTCAACTCCGGCTCTCTTAGGCTTTCATCGCTCTCTACTGCGATATCTACTCTACCATTTCGACCGTAGGTTCAGTGATGGGTGACACCTAGATTTTTTTGATGCATGCAAAAATCACCTTAAATCAAAAGTAAGTTTTTCGGTCTTCTCGGATGAGATTTTCCTAAAAATAGTGAACCTACGGTCGAAATGGTACAGTATAATACCCGGCCACCCATTACCTGTGCCATTTTTTGACCAAAGCAGGATTCCGGGTTGATGTGTCACAATTTCGATCGTTCCAATGCCACGTGACCAGGACGATCTCGATCGGGTGAAAGGGGTGCAGGGAGGTATCTTGCCAGCCGGCGAATGTTGGGAGCTGGTTGGCAGAGGACTCTAGATTGGAAGGCGCTTCGTAGGGCGGTGCATCTGATAGACTGGATTGGGGCACGTGGGACTATGACATCATAAGCACATAGAAGGAGAGAGGCACTGCGGCATGAGGCCTAGGGACCGCTTGCGTTGTACATTTAATTATATACGACAGGTTGATCGGTTTCATGATATTTATAGAATACATGCAGAGTACATGCACCACTGTAGAATAGTATAAGTAGTGTAGCTTGACACTGTATTCTTTAGTCTTTTATTCCAGTTTCTTCTTTGCTCCTCTTACCCTCCACCCCCCAATCCCTTGTCACTCTGACTTGGGACAGAGACTGAGCCTAGTTGTGACATGATGCGACTTTCAATCTTTTCCTTTTTTGGTCCACCTGCTTTATCCTATGACTTGTATCACCATCACTAGTTACTGCCCTGCATTTCACATATGTCTGTAGCTCATGGTCTTGCCAATCCGTATTCCCAAGTCACCGGTATGTCTTTGATGCTACATTTCTGTATACAATATTATTTCACCTGGCTCTAGTTTCTCTGGAATGTGTCTCCCGCACATGCTGCATCATCATTTATCAGCTCACCTCTCCAGCCCCCGCAGGTTTTCCCCCTTCTTTCCTGGTTCACTATGAATCTATGGACATTAAGGATAATTGTTTTCAAAATTGTCACTTTGCGACTTTTGTTGACTCGCTTCTTCCTTGCGGCCTTGCCCATAAACCTTACTTCTCTTGCCCTTGAACTAATCACCCTTTGTGTGCCTGACCCCAATTCAACATCTTTCAATCTTCTTTGACATTCAACGACCATAGACAAATCTGTACGTCCTCTCAATATAATAATTACACCCGTTCCCCTGGGTGAACCCCACCAAATTGGCTCTGAATCATCAGCACCCAGTTATCACTCTTTGCCGGTTCCAGTGGCCAGAGCAAGGGGTACCCACCCTTAAAATTTCCCACACAGGGTCGGAAAAGTGCGACAAGACCCTCCAGACCCTCCCTACCCTATTAGCCGAGCACAGCCACATCCAAATCGGGTAATTTTCCCAGGGAAAGTAACCGAAAAGGAAATTTTGGGCTGAAATCTGCGCTTGATGTAGACCGTTCTGCGCGAATCTGCAGTGTTTTGAGTTGATTTTTGTTGTACAGAATCGCACCACCCCCGAAATGTGCCCCCCAAAAAATCGATTTTTTTTCCGACCCTTCTAAACATGTTTTCAGAGGCGTCTGAACAAATTCCAAAAAGTGAAATAAGAGGTCCCAGACCCACCCTACCCTATGAGGCTGTGTCTCGGCATCTTCCGGTGGGTACCCCTTGGGCCAGAGCATGCTAATATCTTACCTGACCTCACCTAACTGTGTTGATGTACCTGACAGTTTGAAGCAGAAACTTCTCAAGATGTTCAATTTTGAAACATTGGCTGCTAATTTGGCATCATTCGTCTGTGGAAGTTATGCTGAGGTCTGCCCCATGCGAAGTTTCACATGCTCCTTGACTTCGATGAATTTCCACTCGACCTCCTCAAGCAGCCAGACCATTCTTTTTCTCCCAGTGACACCGCCATGGACATTGATCTGGAAAGCCTTGCGCCGACGCATCTTTGATCCATAATTGATGGGTCAAGACAATGAATGGAAGAGTGAGGCTAGACTGCAGCATAGGAAAATTTATGGCCCCTGAACTGGAACGGAACCGAACCTTGCCAACACTTGTGTACAGTCATGGACGGGTCAATGGGCTAACCGATTGAATTGATGAAATAAAAGAAATTAGACTTGATTCAAGGAATTATGAAGATGCCAAATGTCCTGTATTTGCTTTATGTAGGGCGTCCCAAAATCCTGGCCTGATATGAGTCCAGGTGGTTGAGCAGTACATTAAATCGAGTAGCCCATTGAGTGACCAAGAAATACACTGCCAAACAAGTCCGAACTTTTGTCTTCGTACCGTCTTTCTAGATGCCATGCGGCCCCAAATACAGTACAGAAGTGTTTTATATGAGTGGTCCCTACATACTGACAAGTTTGGGGGCCTAGGCTGAATAGGGAGGGGTATAAATCGAGTAACCCATTGACTGTCTCAGCCCATTGACCCGTCCATGACTGTACAGATAAATCCCAAGAATAAACCTATGGACCCTGGAGTCATAAAATGCAGCTTTGCAAGGGTGGCCAATGTTGCTTATTTCTTACCCTTGTACACCTCTTTCCAGAGCACAAGCTGTTTGAGAGGGCCCTCCTGTGTACCATCATGCATGGCTCAGTGGAAAAAGAACCTTCTTGATGCAGGTTCTGGAAAATTGTGCC